CCCACTTCACCGTAATTGTAGCAATACCGAGTCTCCCTCTTGGATCCAGTGTTGCTAGAGGCCGCAAGTGCTGACTTCACCACAGGAAGTCCATCTGTCCCCACCTGCAGCCTAATGCGAGTCTCCTCCTGGATCATGACCGAGACTGCCTCCTCAAGTATGGGAATCTTTGGCTGAGCTAGCAGCAATGCAGTCCGCTGAACAAACTCTGATGTCAGCCCTTAAGAAACACCATAGTCCTCTCCTGTAGAAAGATCTCTCTCTTTACATTCCGGGTCCTTGCAGCTCGCCCGAGGTGAGAAGTGATCATAATCTAGCCATAGATGTTCCAGCTCTGTGGCATACTCCTGTACAGTCCTCTTTTCCTGGACTGTGACGTCGATCTCTCCCTTGATCTAGAACACCCTCATGTTATTCCCCACTCCATCATAGGTCATCCTCAACTTCTCCCAGACGTCCTTCACCTTCTCAATGCCATCCACTGTGACGACGATCGACTGGACCAATGAGTTGAGGAACCAGATGTACACCAACATATGAGTGGACTTCCACTCATCTCTTCCCTCCGAGTCCTCATCCGGCTCTGTCTTCTCTCATATCAAGTAACCCTTCAGGTTCCTACCTGCAAGGGTGTATCGCACCCGTCGTGACCAGCTCAGGTAAGTAGCTGGTCCATTAAGCTTCAGATCGATGATCGGAAGCTCCATCTTCTTCGATGGTCTTGTCACGCTCTCACCAGCCGACAATTTCATCAACTTCATCAAAGTTGACACCTCCGCGGGGTTCAACTTCTTGATGATCTCCTCCATCGATCAGCTTCAGATCCAAAAATCCTTGTTGTGCGCAGTGAAAATTTCGGCAGCACTTTTGCTGCAAAACAAGGATCAGATCTCAACAAAATTCTCGGTTCTCAGAGGAAACAAGAATCGAAAGTGATATATCTCATCTTCGTGAGATATATACTCTTCCTCTCATCAGTTCTAGGACTGAATCGAGGGAATCCATGCCAAACTCTAGGTTCGACAGGGTGCACGGTCAGAGGGTGAGGTGGCAGCGGGGCTGAATAGTTCGGACAGGGGTGGCTAGGGTTCGGCTAG